TTCTGCATATTATTCTGTATATCATCCCGAGTCTAACTCGATTGAGTTTTGGTTTTTCATATATTCATCAGCTGATAATCCTCCCTTTCTTTTTACAGCCATCTATTGTAGGTCAATGTAAGGCGAATTAAGACAACTTTTGCGACCGTAGTAGACATGCTTAAATCTTCCACAGAACTGAATAGCATCATTTTTTTCTTACAATACTGAAATTAAATTATTCCTGTCTATCTTTTTCAACAATCCATGTAATGTTTTTTTCACTACTTATTCCTTTATCTTTCTGACCAAACATTCACTCTCTGACTTCCACCCTCACCCCCCGGGCCCTAAGTACTATCTATCCGTCCGTCCATTCATCCCGCCGTCCATCCATCCATCTATCCACATCAATTCATCTTTGTTTTTCCCATTTCATTTAATTCCTACTCAGTTTCTTATCATTCGTAGAAACGTAAATGAAAGATAACAGTTCAATCTATTTTTACAAGTTGTCACATGTCATCGCCTACAAAACACTCGACAAACATACATAAATGTATCGGGGGGAAACGCAAGCGATCTTATCTGAAAAGCACCTCTCCCTATTAAACTCAAGATACGCCAATACAAATAAGCCCCATTAAACACACATACCAATATATTTGATCCTTGTTAATGAAACAAAAGGCGTCCACCGTTTGCAAGAGTCCCATTTCCTCCAGCCAAATTGCAACAATTGTTCACTAAGAATATTGGTCGTTTCCTAACTCGATTTTCCCACATGTGGTACAAAAGGATATGGAAAGCTCAACCGACTTTTGTTTTTTTACTTCCCTTGACACTTAGAGACTTAACTAATTAAGGAATTATCCGTCAGATATTTTACTGCCGATAACGACAAGCACCATGATGTCTTAATTCCGTTAACTAATGAATTCGTTTTGATATAATTTTTAATCTAATCATATGTCTGTTGTGTAATATTTATCTTTTGAAGACACTTTTTTTTATTTCTCTTGCTTCCAACTTATCCAAGCTTGCAATATTCTGAATGACAGTTAAGATGTCGGAAAGGGCTTAAGTTGTGCTTTATGCTAACAAGAATCTTTAGGGCAAAGCGATATGGTGCAACTCAAGGCATATTTATATTTCAATAACTTTTAGGCTGGAAAAGAAAAAGGTGTGCGTGTGAACTTTAACCACTAACATTGACAAGAAACGATGCATTTTATTACGATAACAAGTTCCGAAGAAACATTTTTTAAAACCGTTAAGAAAAGTCCAATTCAAACGCCCAGATTTACAGATTGGAATTCAGACTAGCCAATATCTACGTTAGTTTTTGAAGTGCAGTTCAAAAAAACAAACAAAACAAACGATTTTAATTTTATCTTTGCATAATATATCAACGGGAAATGAGTTAAAGGTTTAACGGAGCTGAATATTCGACTGTATATAGACTGTATAAGCCAAGGATTTTCTCTTTTCTTTCGTTTCTTTTTTTCAAAATATTTTTGGCTTCCTTTCTGTTAGTCCTGTCTGTTGCTGCTGGGCTATTCGATTCTCAAAATGTCCACTCTTTATGAGGGGAGAACTTTTCCTGTGTTGGATTTTAGTGACAATCTCAGAGAGGATGCTGCATTGACACAGCATTTTGTCAAATATATGTATATACAAAATGCTGTGTCAATGCAGTATCTATCTATCTATATATATATATCACTGGCTTGCAGGAAGGTTGTAGTATACTTTTATATATATATACAAATACCTAACTGGAACCACTGAGGACGTAAAGAAACCCTGGCAGTGACCACCCTCAGTGGCTATTCTTCATACTAACCATCTCTCATTCATAAATCATTGTAAAACGTCTTTGAACATATTCATATGGAAAAGAGCGCTATATGAATATCATAATCATCATAATCATCAAAAACATGAAAAATTGAATAACTCTTTACCCATTCCTTCATATTTAAAAAATAATATTGTTTGATATGTTGTATTCATGAAGAATATAAAAAATACTATTTGAGCGCAATGCGATGGTATTAAATATATATTGGAGAGTTTTTAGGTCAATAAAGTGAAAAAATATAAATAAATCTACTTATTTAATATCCGATGCTTAAAAACCTGATGTATCTGACGTGTCTTGCATCAAAATAAGACATAAAAGTGTTTTTGTTAACTTTCAATATATACACAATCAAATTTTAGGAGTTCTTCCATTTTTCCATCTCATTAGATATTTGTATATTTGAAGAAATGGATATTACAACCTTTATGCAATCGAGTGTGTGTGTATATATATATAAATTAAGGTAACATCACAATCGTCATCAACCAGCGACAGAAACTGCAGCAACAACAACATCAACGGCACCACAAAAACCACTGACTAGCAACAAATATAACTAGCAACACAAAGTCAACATCAACATCATGCATCATCAGTACAACAGCTACACGATTAAGACCCAACAACATCATGTGCAACCACAATCACCAAAAAGACCAAAAATAATATTCAACATAAACACTACCACTTCCACCACCACCACAAGCATCAAATCTAACCTAGCAACAATAAACAACGTAAGCATCAACATCAACAACAAGAATATACCACACAAAAGCAGCATGAAAGCTGAACTTTAAAACGTATGTGCAACTACCATCACCTCCACTGAAAATAACGACAACCTCGACAACACTAACACCAACAACAACACCAGCACTAACACTAAAACCAATAAATTGCTCCGAAAATAATACTAGAACCGATTTATTCCTCCAACAACATCTGCCCATACATGGCGGCTCATTACATTACTAGGTTCTTTATTTTTCTCTCGTCGTTACCTCTTTCTTTCTATCTTTCTTTCTTTTTTCTCCTTCTTTAAATTTTTTTCTTCGTTTTTTCTTTTTAAAGTTTTGAAATTTGATTCTCTTTTTTTATTATTTCGTCTTTATTCGTTTTATTTATTTTCATATTTAATTTTTAATTCGTTTTTTAATGCAATTCCGGCATAAAGAACGTAATCAGAACGCAATGAATTCAAAAAGCCAAGAGTGGAAGAGTAGAGCAGCTACGAGCCGACTAATTGGATTACGGTTGAAGCCGGCACTTTGTGTATGGTGGACTTCGGGTGCAAAAACCGCAATCGTCAAATATAATTATCCAAACGAACAAAGCAAGCAAGAGGTTCACTTTGAGTAGACAATATCGAATTGACTGCAATTTACTAATCAAACTGAAGACATGTGACATCGTGAAGGAGAACGACAGGAACTGAATTCCGGTACAAGTCAGATACCATCATTAACAAATCACTTTTCTAGCATATGACAGTCATGTGTCGTAGACCGACGAGAGTGGTATTGGACTGTTTTTGATCGATTATCAATGTTCAAACGAGTCCGTTCCACGGCTAACTTGGAGTTTATCAAATTTCCGCCTTTTGCATTGGCGTTTGCCAGTACGCGCCGATCACCTTTCTCCAAGTCTTACTTGACGCTTGCATCGGGCCACGCTCACCTTCAGTAAATTAGCTAGTGCACGGATGGCCCAAATCTAAAACAGATTATGTGTAGCTGAAATGTTTCTGCTTCGTCTCTTCCAGAACAAAATATCAAAAAATAACGAAATAATCAGCTGAAAAGTAAGGTATCAAACAATGCAAGCGAATAAACAGACAAACTGACAAACAGACGACGACGCGCGACGATGGCAAAGTTGATGATGATGATGATGGAAGTTCTCCGAAGCAAGTCATACGAATGTGTCGATGCTTTTTACAACCGTCTTTCTCCAATTGGAGCGTAGTTATTTATTACTGGTAAACAGGAATTGATGGTATCACACAAGTGTGTCCATCGAAAACAATAAGTTCTATTTATATAAGACTTTTTTTACTAAAGCCGATTGCCCTCTTGTTGAACTTTGTCCCTTTTGACGCCATTCATCGACACAAATATCCACGAATAAACAACGCATCATCATAATACGCTTAACTAGGGGCCGCCGAGGGGTTGGGCAGGCAGACAGATAGACATATTTTATTTGGCGTTTTGTACATAGTTGCACATCAACTTAGTTCCAAATAAGTTACGAGTATATACGTATGTTTATGTATGTGCATAATATCTAAATTCACATTCCACACATACACGTCATACGTACATAGATATTCTGTATATATAAATGTTCATATAATTATTTCAATACATTAATTGCGTTACTAATCCTAATCATCTTTTATGATTTTTATTTGTTTTGTTGTTGTTGTTGGTTAAGGCAGGGGGGACTACAGGTTACAGCCCCCCCCCCCACCCCACCAACCCTCCCCATTTTTTACATTTTTCCATACTAATGTCTTATAATTTCCAATCTAATCTACACGAATTATAAACAATACATGGTCATAATACGCCCAACACTTCAACAAATAACGACCACGACACAGCCCCCGTGGGGAGGGGGGGGGGGGCACAGCACTGCTTAGACATTCGTCAAGCACCAAAAAGATATAAACCCAATAAACTAATACCTAAAAGGCAAAACACAAATCCTCGATGAGAGCAGTAAACCCTCTGTTTCCATCACGAAGCGATTTGATTACGGCACGAAGAATCTCAGTCCCCGACAGAAGTCTCGCCTCTTTGCGCTAACTTCCATTCCTTGAGTCCTCTAGAAGACTCTAGACGCACTTCATAGAAAGGAAAATCGAAAAAAACAATTTTAGGAGAAGAAGATAGTAAGCCTTGTTTGACTTTAATCCTTTCAATTCGATGTACGCTAAGAGGTTAAGTGTCGCAAATGTGCTTTAACTAAAGTTTGCACGTCAAGGGTAATCCTGTATTAGAGGAGGATAAAACGATTTAGGCTTATTCTAGTTGATTGATTTTAGGAGCTGCGTCTATTAGGAATTTCAGAAACGGGTTTGCGTGCTTGTTCGTTGTTCGTATACGGGAAACAGGGATAGAGTCTGATATTGGTGTTTTTTATCCAGGTTAATCGAGAATATTGCACTCGCCTTGGTTAAAATAACAAGTGCTGTGACAAGGACATAAAAGGACGACGGAAGAGAACCTCAACGTAAACAAGCCACCTAGACGCGATTACGAACTCCAAAGGCCAAAAATCAATGAGGTAAAACCAAAGCCAATCATGTTTTCATAAGTGAATTTTCCTCTCATTGGGAGGCAGTTGACATTGCTACTTTAGCATTAGAATAACATTTGGGGCATATGTCTGGAGCACTTTTCGTTTTTTTGGGTTTTCTCGCAAATTTCTTTTGGCGAAGGTTTTTTGACATTAGTTCTTAATACGAAGCGATTCGTGAGATACAAAGCCTCGAAGAGAGGGCTCCAAGGATTTCTAATCGTAAAGGAGCGTTTAGTATTTCGTTGGTCTAAACATATGGTAAGACAGTTGTTCATACTTATTTTTAATGTCTGTTTTGACGGAGAACTTAATCATTTTCTGGCGTCTGTAACTGGAATTGAAGACCCAAAAGATGTCAGTTTGGAATTAAGGGACTGCTCATAATTTATCAACTGTAGGGGGAGGGGATTGTAGGATTCAGTTCGGAGATCAGCGATCAAGGGGAGGGGGGGTATTTAGTAGTACCCACTAGGGGACTAGAAGAAATAACTTACCTCTTGGGGGAGATGGTGGATCACTTAGTATTTATACTGATTTTGCAACAGAAATCCTCCGATCCCTCTGCCTTTAACAACAAAAATCCTCCGACTCTACCCCCCCCCCCCCTTACATTTTGCACCGGTGGCCGACAAACGTAACCGCAATTTTGTTTCCTCAAGTTTGTCGACTAGGTGACAAATATCTTAGTTATTTAACTTCGTAGAATAAGATATCAATGATGATAATAAGAATAAGAAACAACATATTTTTTTAGTTGTTAACAAAAAGAGGATCCAGTGTGTACTTTACTTTGAAAGACATTAAAACAAAAAACAGCGATGCCTTCCCTAAGCACCGCGTACTGAATAAGCCTTACAAACATCCCGTTTATAGAGTGGTTATTCATTGCTTTTAAAGTCTAAACTCCATTAGTGTCAAGACGAGCGCATCAAGTAATGGGATTTGGCTAATGCCCTGCTTAAATCGTTTTTTCATGTGTGGTTAGTGATCACGTTGTGTTGTTAAGTAAACAACATTGAATTACTTTCACTTAGTCATGTCCTTCTAATATTCCTGTTTTCGTTCACTTCGTTGTTATTCTTTTTTACAAATATTTGTTCTTAAGAAAACAAAACAAACAAAAAAAACAAACAAACAAACGCGTTTATTTAGATGTTTATATTTTTTCTCGTAAACTCTTTCTATTTATTTATTTGTTTATTTATCTATTAATTTGCCTATCTATTTCATTGTCATTTAACTTTTTCATTCATTTATTCATTTATTTTCTTGTTGTCGCTTTCTTCAAAGTATTGCAACTTCTGCAATTTTTTTCTCTCGATTGTTATTCAGTCAGTGATCTAACGATATCAGATGATTGCTATTAGAAATGTCAGTTCGGGAGTGGTTTCAATATAAAGCAATAGTTTAGTTAACCTCTTTTATTTTCTACAATTAAGCTTGGTGGAAAAAAGCTTTGAGTTTCTCACTTCTGAGACTAGAAGACAAAGCCAAAATTTGAACGAATTCGAATTCTACTAGTTATCAACATTTTAATATTTTTTTAACTTACCCTGAAATAGAAATTAAAACGCCTATTAACTTGTTAATGAGAACTGATATGAACCAAACTTCAAATCTAAATAAATGTGTAAACTGGTGTAATGCGAATGTGTTTTTTCCCCCAGTGTTATTTATAAGTAAAGTAGTTTTTTTAACGAATGATATACAAGAAATAGAGTATGAATTAGAAATTTGCTTGTATTGCCGATAAGTTTGATAGCCAGAAAGAAAAAAACATTACTACCTAGAAAGAAAATGATACCATTTTTTTCTGAATATTATTTTTAATCTTTATTATATCCTCCCTACATGTATCGACTTTCTCTCATCCCATCTTCAATGAGAAACTAATTCATTATAACTAGCTTAGTTTCAGTTTTACTATTACCTAATTTTATTTTACTTTAAAGAAGTTTACAAAATTATTTTCTTTTTGACCATTACTGTATATATTACTTCAAGGAGTTTATGAAGCAAAACTTTTAAATCTGTTATATACGTCTCGAGGTGGAAAATTCTGGAAGAGAGGGGGCTTTGTGTCGTGAGCTAAGTATTTCCGAAAGAAGAGTGGTTTTTGATGGCTTTTCCTGACGTCATCTTTCACTTCCCAGTCACGTATCACATACTTGATTTCTTTATTATTATTATTATTATTATTATTATTATTATTATTTATCTATTATTTTAAAATGGAAAATTTTGAATAATAACAATTTTTAAATAGCCAAAGAATGTAATCAAAATCTATATATACGATATCTAAATATATTTGCAACAAATTAAATAAATTAAAAAATTTTAATGATGATGATGATGATGATGATAATAATGGAAAATTTTAAATAATAATTTTTAAATAGCCAAAGAATGTAATCAAAATCTATATATACGATATCTAAATATATTTGCAACAAATTAAATAAATTAAAAAATTTTAAGGATTATTAAGAAATATTGAGGTGATATAAACTAGATGTAGTTAGCAAAACAGACTATATCGGATTCATAATGATAATGATGAAATGCAATGAATAGAGGATTATACATGGGCGCGCGGAGAATCGAAATTTATCTTCGAGTGTTGAAAAGATCTCTCGCGAGTGAGCGTAGCGAAAATAACATGTTATTTTGACATGTGAAAATATCAGTTTTTCGAAAATGAGAAATACAGGTATTTTATGGATAATTATATGATAACACAAATAAATAAATAATAAATGAATAATAACCTATTGCTCATTTAACACACACACTTTATACCACTTAGAATTATCTAATAGCGATGATGATGATGATGTTGATGGAGACAATAACTAAAACGATTATAATAACAAATGAATAAATAAAAAAATATATTATATATTTTACTCAATTAACGCCGTCATCATTTATGTAGAAATACCATCGGCTAATGATGATGATGATGATGAAGTAGACGATGTTGTTGTTGATGATGATAATGATGATGATGGTGGAGGTATTGGTGGTGGTGATGGTGATGGTGATGGTGATGGTGATGGTGGCGGTGATAGTAATGATAATGATGATGAGATGATGTTGTTGATGATGATAATGATGATGATGGTGGTGGTTGTGGTGATGGTAATGATGATGATGGTGATGACGATAGCAATAAAAATTAAATAATAACTAATAATAAATAAATAAAGACAATGTATTATTCAGTTAACAACGCCATTATGTATGTAGTAATATATAATAATATTAATAATGATGATGATGATGATGACAGCAATAAAAATTAAATAATAACAAATAATTAATGAATAAATATACTGTGTTATTCAGTTAACAACGCCATTGCGTATATAGATATAACTAATAATGAAGATAAGAATGAATGATTATAAAGCATACTAATACTAATGTATGGGAATATGTATGTACCACGAGGTCAGATTTTTTCTTCAGGTTGTCTGGTTTATTTGGACCCTCCCTCCGTAAAAATCAACATGTGAGTTATGTGCATATGATATTTAATGTAGTGGTAGAGTGCGTGGGTGAGTGAGTGAAGGGTGGCAAATTATTGGAAACCTGTATGCATATAATAAATTTGTATCTCACTATTAAAAAATTGATTTATTATATATGTTTTTTTGTTTATTTGATTTCCCTATGATATAGTCATCGCCATTTATTTTATCTTATTTTATTTTTTTTATTATTATTATTATTATTATTATTATTATTATTATTTTTTTTTTTTTGCTTGTTAGTTTTTCTTGTTTTCATATATTCATATATATATTATGATATATATGATATATATATACATTCAATAGGTTTTGATTCAATTATACACATAGGCCAATCTACCCAATGTCTGGTCAAAATAATCTTCTATTTTTGGATTCTAGCGAACACCTGTATCAGAAGCCAGCCGAATCAACACAGTAAATGTTTTCTATGTTCCACTTGCGGTGGCTGTTTGTACCAGAACATTAAGCTTTCCAGTCATTAAGTCAGTTTGATTGCAATCAGCTAACGAAAGCAAATCATTCAACCATTATTGCTGTTAAACGAATTTCAATCACTGCAAAAATAAATAATACCACATTTTGAGTGCATTATAAGCTCTACAAAGGCATGTATATCTAGACGGAAGTAGAGCTTTCATTTCGGTGATGTTATCAGTACGTGGATCTTTTTAAGTTATCTTCTCTTGTACTTAAACCTATTTATTCCAACTTTAAACGAACAATCGTTGCTGACCCCAAAGGATCATGGTACGTTTCCTGACTTGAATATTAATTCTCAACGTGTGAAAACCCAATAAATCTAATGAAAAAAAATCGCTGTAAGGAGAACTTTTGGTAATTAGTACTTCATATAGATCTTTCTGTCAGCTACTCGAGGTTCTTGAAAGGATTAACTGAGGGCTGCCCTAGGGGAAGTGACGTGACTTGATTGACATCAAATCGCATCACTTCCCGAGGGCAAGGGATTTGCTTGAGGCCAATATCATGTAATGGACTCATTGCTTAACGAGTCAATGAGTTTTAGCCAAAAGTCGTTCAATATACCCCACTGGGATAATGGACCAGTGCTTAGAAGAACGTCTTTTATGACCGATTCAAATTCAGATGGTTCCCGAACCAGAATAAAATGAAATCCCTGACATGCGCAGTAAAGAGTAATCACCCACGTACTTTGAGAGGCCAGATGAATATAATTATTATCAATTATTTATTTACCATATACTTTCGTTTGTAAGTGTTTTGTGTTTACATTAATTCTGTTTATCAATCTTCAACCAGTCTTACCTTCTCAGTTCATTTAGATCGTGTGGCGAGGTAATAGTGTCGAGGTAAAAATAAGGAAATCCAAACGCAAGTTTAAAATAGACGAAAAAGAATGCCTTTTGCAGGTAAAAAACATGTAAAATAGAAAACAAAATCTGCTCACAGTATTAGAACGGGATAATGAAATCAAGAACATTAATGTCTTTGTTTTACAGCTTAGTTTAATGACGTTGTGTATATTTTTATTCTGTTAATTTCGATTCCTCTGATCCTTTGTTTTCGCAAGCTCTGCGCTATATTGACAAATGACTCGACTGAGCACTTAATACTGGCAGCTCTCTTTGCCATTTTACCGTCGTTTGTCATTATTTTTGTCACAAAAAAATTGAAATATTATTCGAAACAAAAATCAAATTAATGTATATATTTTTTTAATTCGAGTTTCAAGTGGTCTTCTGGTATAAGGTAATTTTATACTACCATCATTTTAGTTTCTGCCAATATTTTTTTTACTACAGAACTCTTTTAAAGCCAAAATTCCCATATTAAAAGAGAAGAGGGTTGTCCAAATGAATCATTCCATGAATATTCTGTGCACTCCATATCTTCTCTTGTTGTTCTCTAGTCGAGTTACTCTCCACATCAGTCTCCTACTTCTGAAGTACTGTTATTGTCTAGAGAAAGAGCAATATAACAAAGAACAAATAACGTCAAGAACATAACACTCCGAAGCCGGTGACGCAAATTTTTCATATATATTTGTGATCAGAAAGCTTTAATTATTTTTGGAAAATTCAGTCCTTGCATTGTGATATTCGACTGTAGGAAGAAACAGTCTGGCAGGGTGTAAAATGCTTCATGTTGGATTCTCAAATAAGTGACCGTACGAACTCTAGTTTGCTTGTTTTTTTAACTCTGCGCTAATTAGCCAAAGAATCATGACCTTTGTGTCTCGTTTGTACGCCTGCGTCATCAACACTGCCTGATTTCCCACTTTTTTCTATTTTAATCGTTTTAAGCGAAAGAGAAAGCCAAATTTCGGGAACGCTGCATCTGCTTCAAATCGCTCTTTCTTGTGGTCAATAACTTTATTCTGAAGAACATATTCAAGGTTCTATTAACTTCGGCTTTCTACGCTTTCTCGTGAAGTCGGCACGGTTATATTCGGGTGAGTGGAAGCAATACCAAAGTTTTTACTTTATTAATCTTTTGTAAAAGAAATTATGTAAGTTTAGATAATTACGATGTTTTTGTATTGATTGTTATTAGAAAAGAATATAGTCATTGGAAATTAGCACTTGTGTGAGACTACTAGCGAATTAAGAAAATAAGGCTCAACCCATCCACCTGCTTTAGATCTAAATTATCTATTCTTTCAAGCACGAAGGATTCTCGAAACAACCAGGGAGCTTTCCGATCTTATAAATTTCGTTATTTATCTATAATAGTTTTCAGAGCCCATTTTTTATGTGGTTTTACAGCACTGAAACGTAGAATTTATGGCATCAAAATGGCTGGGACAAATAAGAGCGACTAGAATAAAATAATTAGAATGATGGAGTTAGCTATCAGTTACTTGATGTGGGAATTGTGATAAGAAGTTTACAAAAGATGCAATGCAACAACACAGCAAAACAACGAAATCAAAATGTGGTCCTGATTCCGTTCAAATGTTAATTAGAAACACGAAAGATGATTAGGGTTTCTGGCTATATATCCTCGACTTAGATTAGTTAAAAACTCATTGTAAATAAATTATAAGCGGAATGGTTGAATAATGGCATCTTTTTACCGAGTACAGAGATGTGATTTTTTTAGTCATTGGTTTGTCGGTTGTATTCTTAATTAGGACGAGTATAAGGCAACGCCATTTTTTTTTTTAAATTATACTGATTGCAACAGTTGAGGTAGAAGTTAGATAGATTACAAACACTTAGGGGGTATTAGAAAAGTCTTATCGATCAAGCTTTGACATATTTATTCTGCATCCATAACATCTCGCTACTTCATTAGTAAGTTTACATATTGATTCCGCCTCTCCCAGCGATTGATTCTTTCATTTCGTATACGATGTGACAACGTTCTGTTCTCGCAGTACGCGTAACTGTAAGCCTTTTTCCTTCTAAACCCATCAAGATCTCTCAAATTTTGGAAGACTTTCTAAAAAACGGTCATATTTCTCAGAACTGTGAAATTTAAGAAACTAAACAATTTTTTTTTTCAGGTCATAGAGGCACTTCAGTGACAAGAGCTGCCGTACTGTGATTTGTCAGCCAAAGGTACGAATCGTTAATTATATTTTACGATTTATAAATAAACGCAACAAAATATCAAAGCATACAACTTAGGTTAGGTTTTCGAAGTTAGAATCATAATCAACTCAAATAATTCTTGTTATGATTAGCACTCGTAAAATGTGAATAGGAATTTCATTCGCTTTTCTTTCCCACAAGTGAGATGATAAGGAACCTTTATCTCATTAAGACTGTTTGATGTCTCGCATACTTTCTGTTGGCTTTTCTGTCGTTCAACCTCACTTCGTCAAACAGATAAAACAACGATGTTCTATCAAAGACGTTTTTAGTTTTGCTGATCCTTTACTTAATTTGACAGCTGAAATTGAGGAATTTGACGGCTGTTAGACTTTCAAATACTATTGTTTGATCTTCCAGTGAAATACTTCAAAAGTAAACGCCGTGAAAATAAGAAAACGTTGTCTTTATTTTTTTCCAAATTTTTGTAAACTTCCTGAAAGAAATGTAGACGTATGTTGACAATTTTTTGGGATTTTTTAATTTCATTTTTGGAATATAATTGCATTGGGTTCTATCGCGTTAGTGTCTTTTGGGATTAAAATTACGGTTCTAATAACGTATAATGGCGTTACTCGGTGTTACGGGCCATTCGGTGGGATTAGTATAGGGACTAATATATCACTTGCCAAAGAACAAGCAGTAAATCTAAATACATTTCTGGCAGCTTGGCAGTCATTAAGCTATTTCATTAATTTTTTCCCCTCTCTCTCTCCTTCCATTGTTTTCGCTTCTCTTATTAAATCTTTCTCTTTCTTTTTACTTCTTTCTTTCGTTTTTATTTCCTAAGATTCGTACTTTTCCTTTCTAAGTTTTTTCTCTCTTTTTGTTTGCCAATAATCAAACTTTTCACGACCGTTAAAAGTAAAAATAAAAATAAAATTTATAGCAGGCATGCGCTGCACTACATATTCACAGGGGTTTTTTTTTCATTTCTAAACAGTGTATTTCGTCCTAGTTTTTTTCCTTTCTGATTGATAATATAATCAAATAGCCGTACTCAGCACCAAATGCCGTTTTCTAATTGCATCCATCTTGAAATTAAGTTCATTTTATCATGTGATTATTCTGCATCAGCACAGCTGCATTTCTTAACTTTTTTGTTCCCCAAGAAAAATAGAATAAAAAGAAAGAAAAAATCATAAAAACACAGAAGGAGAGAATCATAACGAAAAAGAAATAAAAATAGAACAACCGGAAATTGAATAGTAGAATGAAATAGAAAAGATACAGGAAAGAGATAAGGAAAATGAGAAAATGGAAAACGAACAAGAGAAAGGGAAAAATAGAACCAGTTTTCTTCCTCGATCAATATCCTTTCTTTCTTTTGATAAATGTTTTATAGCAACAGTTTACATTAAAATTTGAGATTCATTGAATCAAATTCAAACGAAATTAAGTCGGCTGGAATAAAAATTGCTTAGAAATAAAACTGTCAATATACTGAGTCAACCTTGCAGACGCCCCGATATTACGGACACCTTGCTATTACGGACAGGAATTCCCCGAGGAAAAATACAGACAAAAGAAATGGCCTTAAATAATTTTCGCTATTGCTGACGCTCGCGCTATATAACGGATATGAAGTGACGGTTCCGAGGGCGTCTGGCGTAACGAGAGTTGACTTTATACGTTTGTGTACAGCCTAAAGGCCGGTTTAGACGGCACGATTTTCGCCTACAACTATCGTATACAACACGCTTGCGCCATCCTACAACTCGAGTCGTAGCGTGTAAATCAAGCTTACAACTCGCTTACGACAGACGTAAGCGTGTTGTATACGATAGTTTTAGGCGAAAATCGTACCGTCTAAACCGGCCTTAAGGATTCACGACTTCAGATCAATTTATGATGACCAGCTACCTATAGTGAATGTAGCCGGTGGAATTATGACAGCGTTAATAAATTTTATATAGTTCAGTGATATTAGTTAGTAGAGGACCTGAGAGGAATCGTTCACGTTACTGTATCTCAATAGGCCACAAGTAGAGGCTATACTCAATACTAGAGGGATTTTCCTTGGCCCGTGCAACGAAGTTGTCTATAAGAAAATAATGAAATTGTGTTGAGCTTCTACTACGAGATTTATTAGGCTTACTGTGTTTTTCGCGGTTCAACGTTCACATAAAACAACTCTAAAATAATTTATGACTTAATTGATTTATGACTAAAATGGATTCAGGACATACTAATCTATCATAATTAGGCTTCACATTACCTTGTTCTCGAGAGGGAGGGTAAGGTAGGGGGGGG